TCATATGGCAGCTGTGTTGTATGTCCTTTATCCCATGTCAACCCATGTTTTGTTTCATATGGCAGCTGTGTTGTATGTCTTTTATCTCATGACAACCTGTTTTGTTTCATATGGCTGCTGTGTTGTATGTCTTTTATCCCATGTCAACCCATGTTTTGTTTGATATGGCAGCTGTGTTGTATGTCTTTTATCTCATGCCAACCTATTTTGTTTCATATGGCAGCTGTGTTGTATGTCTTTTATCCCATGTCAACCCATGTTTTGTTTCATATGGCAGCTGTGTTGTATGTCTTTTATCTCATGCCAACCTGTTTTGTTTCATATGGCAGCTGTGTTGTATGACTTTTATCCCACTTCAACCCATGTTTAGTTTCATATGGTAGCTGTGTTGTTTGACTTTTATCTCATGGTAACCTGTTTTGTTTCATATGGCAGCTGTGTTGTATGTCTTTTATCCCATGTCAACCCATGTTTTGTTTCATATGGCAGCTGTGTTGTATGACTTTTATTTCATGCCAACCTGTTTTGTTTCATATGGCAGCTGTGTTGTATGTCTTTTGTCCCACGTCAACCCATGTTTGTTTCATATGGCAGCTGTGTTGTATGACTTTTATCCTACCTAATCCCATGTTTGTTTCATATAGCAGCTGTGTTGTATGACTTTTATCCCACCTCAACCCATGTTATGTTTCATGTGGTAGCTGTGTTGGGTGTCTTTTATCCCACCTCAACCCATGTTTTATTTCATATGGTAGCTGTGCTGGGTGTCTTTTATCCCACCTCAACCCATGTTTTGTTTCATATGGTAGCTGTGCTGGGTGTCTTTTATCCCACCTCAACCCATGTTTTGTTTCATGTGGTAGCTGTGCTGGGTGTCTTTTATCCCACCTCAACCCATGTTTTGTTTCATATGGTAGCTGTGCTGGGTGTCTTTTATCCCACCTCAACCCATGTTTTGTTTCATATGGTAGCTGTGTTGGGTGTCTTATCTCATGTCAGCCTGTGTTGACTTTTATCCTATGTGATCCTATGCTGTGTTTGATATGACAGTTCGTGTTGTATGACCATATTGTGTATGATATGACGGCTGTGTTGTGTGAATTTTATCTCATGTAGACCTATGTTGTGTTTGACATGGCGGCCGTTTTATGA